GTCGCACTGTGTAACGCATTTTATTCCTGTGCGGTTAAAAAAACCGTTAAAAAATAACCCATGGATTACACGTGAAGTAATACATGCAAAACGCCAACTCAAAAGGATTCGGAAGGCAAACAAGGTACCAGGCACCAACCCATCTAACGCTTCCAGGCTAGCGCTTGCAGTACAAACTTTTAAACAGAAATCCAGAGAAGCGAAAAGTCATTATTTCAACACTGTACTCCCCAGCTTCTTAAAAAACAACCCACATAGATTTTGGAACCACTTCCGCCAAAAAAACACACTCACAACTAAGCTTTCGTCCATTGAAAAAAAAAATATAAAGCCAACAGATACAACCAATTCTTCCGTTCTGTCTTCACTAAAGATAATGGTGTCATGCCTGACTTACATCCGCGGCCAGGTCCCACTATCCAGCCACTCGTTATCACAGACGCCGGTGTTCTTAATCTTCTGCTTGGCCCAGACACCAAAAAAGCCTGTGGTCCGGACAATATACCAAATTAATTTCTTAAACGATACGCACAGTGGTGCAGCAGATACCTGGGGATTAATTTTCGGAAATCCCTCTCAACATCTAAACTACCAGAAGATTGGAAAATAGCAAAAATTATTCCGATACACAAATCAGGAGATAAATCCATTGAAACAAATTTTAGACCAATATCACTAACCAGCACGGCATATAAACTACTCGAGCATATCATTCTAAAACATTTAACCATTTTTCTTGAACAAGAAGGCATTCTGTTCAATAACCAGCATAGTTTTCGCCAAGGTTTATCCACCATAACACAGTTAACCGAAGTAATACACAACCTCGCGCAAGGCATTAACAATCATCGCCAAACCGACATAATCCTACTCGACCTATCCAAGGCATTTGATTGCGTTCGTCATATAAAGCTAATAGTTAAGTCAAGAAGCCTTATCGGAGATGGAGAAATTATTGCTTGGGTTCAAGATTTCTTGTTTAATAGATCCAAGTTTGTTATTTTTGAACATTTTGCATAAGACACGGTACCAGTGACGTCAGGAGTGCCCCAGGGCTCCCTGCTTGGACCCTTGTTATTTCTCGTTTATATAAATGATATAACTACCAATATATATAGTAAAATAAAGTTATTCGCAGACGACTGTATCATTTATTGAGAAATTAACAATCAACAAGATCACCTCTCTCTCAACAAGTCTCTTATTACCGTTGCAGAATGGTGCTCTGATTGGCAGATGACAATCAACGTAAAAAAATCTGCATGCATGACGATAACACGGAAAAAAGAAGCCTCTAACTTTCACTATAACATAAATGGTGCTGCTCTCACGAATGTACAGAGACATAAATATCTAGGCTTAACAATAACATCAGATCTAAGGTGGGACGCTCACATTGATAATGTTACTTCTTCTGCTATGCAAAAACTATTTTTTATTCGCAGATAGCTCCATCTGGCACCCACCTCGACGAAACTACTAGCCTACAAAACATTCATTAGGCCAATCCTTGAATATGGAAATACTGTATGGTTTCCTCATACCGTGACTAAAATAAAAATAATAGAAAAGGTGCAAAGGAAGGCCATAAGATTCATACATAACAAATTTAAACTGGCTGATTCACCCACTACCCTTCTAGCTGTTTCTGGGCTTCCCACGCTCGAAACACGGGCGAAGCAGGCACGTTTGAAATTTCTTTATCAACTCCTACATAATTATTTCAAAATAGATGTCTCAAACTACGTTGAATATTCGCAAACACGAGCTACCCGGCACCAACATACTAATACTCTATTACAATATAAATGTAACAACGATGCGTTTAAACTCTTTTTTTCCAGTTGCCATCCACGAATGGAATTTGTTAACCCCTTTCACCACTAATGCCCAGTCATTGTGCGATTTCTTATCAAGAATTGAAAATAACGTCTTTTAGCGTCCTTGATATGTCTGCTTTTCTATGACATGCAAACCAGCATTCACTTGTATTTGGTGTGTATGGTGTGCATAAGTGCTGATTGTATGCTTCAAGGTTGCTGATTTGTCTTTTTACACATTATTTACCAATTTACGATCCTGAAAGTGTTAAGTGCTCTTTGTAACTGTATACTGTAGTGCCCACCTGCTATGGTCTCTTTGGAGACTGGCAGTATTGTGAATAACTAGTAAAAGATAGTTTTCCGGGTAGCTTCTGTATGTAGCGACATAGGTGTCGAGCGGAGCATGTACAACACCCGCAGAATATGTGCAGTGGGGTCAACTGTTAAAGGGAACGCTGGAGCACGTGTCATCTGCTCTGGTGTTTTTTTACAAACTGCCACATCTAGTTGCCACGTGATCAAATAAAGGGGGACACATTTAACATCCCTTGAAATGGGTTTGCAAACCTCACCAGCTGTCACTTGTGTTTCTCAACTCACTACATTCCCCCTGTAGGGTTCCTAGAACGAATTTGAATAGCTCCGGCAGTGAATAATGTAACCGGCTGGAGAGTAAAGCCCAAAAAGGGGGCCATTTTAGTACTTCTGTTGAGGGAACAGTGCACGATGTAAAGAAAAGTGGAGAAAGTGAAGTAGCAGGACAGGACGTCTGACATCATGTCACAGGAATATCTGACATCATGCCCATCAAGGTGCTGCCTCACAAAGACCGGTGTGCAGCTTCCGCCTGCTAGCAATGTTTAAAAAAACAGGCAGATCTTGAGAAACACTGAAAGTAAAAGGTTTATCGGATCAGAAGCTGCTCTTAAGTGGAATTTTAATGCTATCGTCTTTTTTTTTTCCTGTTTTTATTCAGGGTGCTTTAAGCTCCGACAGAGGCATTATAGAGCGATTTGTATTAAAGTAATTTGAGTGCCAGAAATACGGTATGTTGTATACCAAAATGTCGTAAAATACAGGTATTCGGTTCGTTTGCGTGAGGCAAAATGTTTCTAACATAAGTTTTACCAGTACAATGAAGGCTAGGCATTTTAGGTTAGTTAGCCATGTTTTGTTGTAGATTTGCAGCTTAACGTGATATTCAAGGGAATGCTTCTGCAAAGCCACTGGTACAGTGTCTTCATGACGAGGAAGTACATAAATGTTCAATCTTATGCGACAAAGTGTAGAGCAAAAACTAAGCCTGTCCCATTATAAAATATTTGGGAAATTTCACTTGAGGCAAATGCATGAAATTGGATCAAGTTTGTTTTGATGCTTTAAATTTATAAGGAGCAATCTGATAGAGTGAGCAGTACACGTTGAGCTAACTACTAACCAAAAATTCGGTAGTCAACTGTTGCACTCCTTAACACAGGTGGTGTAGCCAAATAAAAGAGACGCATAGATAGCAATTTCTAAGAAAACAGTTCACTGGCAATAGCATAGTTATGGAATGGTAGATTATTGGTAGTCCACGCATAGCATAGATGCTGAGTAGCAATGTTTATTTTGCGTCAGGAGGAAATTATGTATACAAAGATAGAAAGAAAGTCTATAAATATTTATTTTTTGTTTGAAAAAAAACATTTTTTTTCTCTGGAAATATTTGAACATATGCCAAATTTGCATGGAAATAAAACTCTGCTCCTTAGTGATTATAATATGTACTCTGACTTTAAACAACAAAATACAACAAATCTGCCCATACATTTCGCTTTCTGTGTGAGTGGAATCATCAGTGTGCACTGGCCCCAAATGTGTGGAGGTGATCAAATTCACTGATTGTCTCGTGTGTGTCTACTCATCTGCATGGAGGCCGTGATTGTTTTTGCACACTGGCTGGTCACGACGGTCTAACCACGACTCGAAAAGCTTTCTCTTCCCTCTCTTTTGTTCCTGAGCCAGCGTCATCGAATTACGAAAGTCGAAGGCATACCCCATTTTCAAGCAGTGTTTGATGAGTTTTGTCTGAGAATGCGTAGTTTTTGTGATGTCCCCTTTGTGTTCATTATAACTCACTGACCAATTCCTGCCAGTTTTGCCAATATAAGTGGTGTCACAGCCACTGCACAGGAACTTGTAAATAACCCTGTTTTGATCATTGGCGACTTTTGTCAATATAAGTGGTGTCGCAGCCACCTCACAGGAACTAGTGCGGTGGCTCCGATAGGAACTTGTGCACAGGAGCAGGAACAACCCTGTTTTGATCATTCACAGAGGTGCTGTCTTTGGGCTTAGAGAGCACGTTTAGCAAAGTACAATGGTGCTTGAAAATTGTTGTAATTCCCAATGCACGAAGTGCTATTCGAACAGAGTCTGAAAAACTTTAACGTAAGGTACAGAAACAATTGGTTTTGTGCTTTATCGCAGCACACTCCTTGTTTCCTTTTGCTTGTGTTTCTGAGAATCATTGATAAACCTGTTCAGATAATGGCTTCATTACAATTTACCAGCCACTTTTTTATCTATATGACTGATATTGCTGATCAGTGATGTATGCGACACCACATGCATGAATGAAATGGGCAGTAAGCGACCAACAGGGCTTGAAGAGCACAAATGATACATTGCAAAAGCCATCCATATTGCGCATTAGAGGACAAAACTCGTCGAACACTGCTCGACGATGGAACATGCCTTCGACTTCAGTAATGAGACAACGCTAGCTCAGGAACAAAAGTGGGGCAAAAGAAATCTCCTCGAGTCGTGATTCATTAGTGTGACAAGTTGGCGCGCGCCAACCGCGGCCGCATACTAAGCGACATAGGAGACAAGCAGCAAACTGTGGAACCTCCGCTCATTTGGTACCAGGCCATACTGAGGATGCCAGCTGCATATTTTGCGAAACGTCTATGTAGTTTTTTCTATATTTTGCTGTGCTCAGTATAAGTCTATATATTTAATCATGAACTGGCCTGTCTTTTGGAACAATTTTACATCTGCTCATTAGTTATGCATGAAACGGTGCATACGGTGCATACGGTGTTGTACCAAACAGTTATGCATACGTTGGTGTACCAAACAACGTGCTGATAATTTTATTTCGATGTTTTGAATGATTTTTTTTTGTTTGAGGTACATACGCACGTGCCGAAAGAAGAAAATGAGCAGCAAAATTTCATCTTACTTTGCCACCAATGCAGCTGATGAGGAGTGACACAAAGGAATACTACGCTGTAAGCGCCATGTGTTTGGTAAGCACCATACTATATGGCAGTTTTAAACTACTAACAATTTTCTTTGTGCATCATTTTTAATAATTAACTGAACGAACATTGCCACCCTGAAAATAACTAGGTGTTTGAGCTGAAGAACTGAAATTAGGACCATAAATAAGATCGAAATATTGATTCTTTGCCATTATTAATGAGTAAGGAGCCAATCATTCAGCTCAATAAAGCTTCACAAATTTCAGCTCTGCACTATTTAAGTTTCCTCACTGCTGTGTTTTTTCACAGCTGGATTGTTACATAGCTTTCTTTCAGTCCTAGCACAGATTTCACAGGATATTGCAGACAGAGTTTGCCAGCCAATTCTCTGCATTTTTTTAGAAAAGTGTTCCCATTTAATTATTTTGTTTGTTTGATAAGCTACTAGTATGGGTCTAATCACTTCCTCTTCATAATGCAGGCCCTCATTGCCAACCAATTTCCTCGCATCATGGCTTGCTCCACGGTCGTCACAGCCATCACCCTGCAGTTGCTGTTTGCCGACATCGTCGACAGTGTACCCCTCCTGGACGTACCCTGACCTGGCGAGCCTGTTCACTCATGCTGAACCACAATGGCAAAGTCTCGAGAAACGAGTGGCAACATCAACGTGCTGCTCAGTTTGAATTTATGAACTACACTGGGTATGTGAACTGTTGTGGCGGTATGGCTGTTAGTTGCTTCTCTGATGGTGATGCAAGTTGGTGTCAATTTGTCATTCTACTGTAAAACATGTGAACTGTTGTGGTGGTATGGCTGTTAGTTGCTTCTCTGATGGTGATGCACGTTGGTGTCAATTTGTCATTGTACTCTAAAAGATGTGAACTGTTGTGGTGGTATGGCTGTTAGTTGCTTCTCTGATGGTGATGCATGTTGGTGAGAATTTGTCATTCTACTCTAAAAGATTGCATTTCCTGTGCCTGCTGCTGTTGCTGTGCCCACAAGTATGATTGTATGTGTATACGTAGTTGACATTTATGGCGTTATATGTTTGTGAGAAATAGGGTACTTGGTCATAATACTCGTTCTGAATACCTTCGAAAAATGACCTTCCTTCCTAATGACTTCTCAAACAAGTGAGAGTACTGTGCCACTTTTCCAAAGATGCGCATAACCACTCGCTATAAAGTATCAACTTGGAAGCTGCATTCACTGCAAATACAAAATGTTGAAATGCCAAAATTAGTGGCACACACAATGCAAGAAATGCATAAATGAAAACTACAAGACAGTTATGCAGAGCAATGCATAACAATCTAAAGATAAGCTGAGCTCACCTCTAGATACAAATTAATAAAATCTGGACTGAATGAACAAGAATAATTGTGTCAAGGCAGTTTAATCATCCAATGGACAAAAGAACAACTTGGTGATGAACTGAACAGAAAATAGTTGCATGCCTTGTGTATTCGTTTCGTGATCAATATTTCTCACTTGGTTGTAGCTGGGAGGTCACTGTTGTGCGTGATTTACACTGAGCAGTTGCTCCACTGATCGCGTCTCGCTTTTTCTGACCACGTCTGAGCTACCTTAACTTTCAAATGCGTATTTTTTTATGTAATCAATCGGCCACAGTTAATGGGCCGCTTTTTATTGAATGCGTGTCAGGAAGTAATCATGAAGTTCAGTTGCTTTTTAACTGATAAGCTTCTTTTGATATAAACATGTTTTGCTACACAGATATCGGCAGGTTTTTCTGTATTGGTAAAAACAAGTTCTTGTTTTGAACTTTTAAGCCCCGTCAAAACAAGCTGTACCTATGTGGGATGTGCCAGTTTTTCAATGCTGCTATATTGTCTCTGTTCATGAAACCGTGACATAGACAGTCAACAGCAGTGGCAATCATCATTGTATACAATGCATGCATCACTGTTGAAAAATTATCAACAAGGCAATAGCTGTCTATGGTATTCATGTCCTCCTGTGTAAGACATAGCAGTTTCTCCAGTGATTTTTTCTTTTCCTATTCACTTTCCCACTGATATTGTAAATACTATTGGTAAAAGCTTTTTTCGTAAACTTACGCTAAAATTGCATAAACAAGTTGTGTTTTCATTTTCCACCTGTATTTGTTTTTCACGACCCAGCAGTCGACATAGTATGAAAGAAACTTGCAACGTGCCTTGTTCATATTTATTATTGAATGCAAAAACGTGTTTTGTAACGCTCCCATTCATGTCTTGCTCTGTGAAAACGACAAATAAATAAGAAGTAAGTAATCTTCGTAAATAAATGTCTTCTTTTTTTATTTCATATGGCATTCAGCCACTTCAGCATGTTCTTTCCTGCCTAAGCTGTGTGACTGCATGTCCTCATGGTTGCTGAAATTCTGAACATAAACTTACCGCATTCATAACACATGCTCACTTATTGTAGTCATGGCTTACACAGAGCAAAACCACATTTTTCAATGCTCTAAAAAATGCAGTATGTATATCACATGTGTTGGAAGCTTTGGAATTTGAAAAGTGTGTTTTTGGTCTTAAGGACATGCACGAGCGTGTTCTGACATTTTTATAGCTTGGCTCGTCTAACACCACTTGTTTATGCATGTACGAATGTGTTGATAAAGTGCTGTTGGGAAACAGTTTTTGTGCATGGACAATAACAATGCAATTTTTCACATCATACCAGAGCTTTTTTCTTAGCCCGAAGCTTCGGGCAGTTCCCCTAACAAATCAACGTGCCTTTTATTATTAACGCATACACAGTAGTATATATTTTCTGCGCACGTCGCATCAAAGTGAACACGTCATACAGCAATGTTGACATCACGTTGCTAGAATGCTGCCATCACGTTGTTGGTATGTTGACGTCATGTTGCTGGCATGTTGACATTACATTGCTGCTATGTTACGAAAACATTGCCGAGATGTTGAAAATGTAATCCTGAACGTTGCCATATCGTCCTGAATGTTACAAGCAACGTTATCGTGTGATCAAAAAATAGGACGTTAAGCGCGTTTAGGCAACGTTGCTGACTGACATCTGGGCGCTTTCATTCAACGATGGGATAACATTCTGCGTTACTTGAGTTAGTTATCTCCAACCCATGCAGTGCCTCTCGATTGTAGGCCCCTTCCATGTGCTCAGGTAGCCAGAGAAGCTTCATTTTCACTTCTGTGAGTTCCGAGGCATCTACGGCTTTTGACGAAAAATTCACCTTGTGTGACTTGCCAAGTTTCCGTTCGTGTGGACTTGCAAGTAACCACTCATACATGTGACTTTTCAAATTGACCTATAGAGCTTATTTTCTTCAAGCCAATGATGACCCGAAGAGCAACTCTGAAGTCCTAAACCCAGTAAAAGCGATTGTTTAAGTCCGCATGAAGAGAAACGGAATCCACGACCAGCGTACCGGTGGAAAGACGAGGCAGTAGAACAAGGCAGTCATTGCCACTGGCTGAAACCTCAGCATCACCTAGGCCCAAGGTCAATAAATATTTTGTGGCTGAAAACATGAAACGTCGAAATGCACCATGGCCACGCCTGTGCTTGTGCAAACAGTGAAAAGAACTTCATCTGCTTGGAAATGCACTGAAAGTAGCTTTCATCCTTCACAAACACATGCATCCTGTATATATGCTTCACAATACAACATGAAATATTGCAGTAATAATGCGTGGTCAATTGTTCATTGCGAACAGGTGCCAGAATATGTATTATAATGACTCGCTGGTTGAAAGCCGGTACCCCACTACAAAAACACACACACACGGTATTGTGCCTAACCCCTTAAGGCCACGTAGTGGGTGGCAAGCCAATTCGAAAAAATTTCATGCACTGACTGAAGTATACACTACAAACAGGATTTCGCCATCGCATTAACTCCTAAAAGCGAAGCTTTAGGGTCCCATGACTTTTTATCTTGACATATATCATAAACTTTCTTGAAACAAAATTTTCAACACTTCCCAGCATGGCTTCAAACGTGGTCTTATGCCTATTACTCAACTCACAGAATTCATTCATGACATCAGCTGCTCTTCAGAAGTAGCTAGGTGACCAGATTGGTATCATATTCATTCATTATGCGAAAGCCTCCGACACTGCATCACGATTGATCGATATGTGTGATTCAACGTCCCAAAGCCACCATATGTTTAAATGAGATGCTGTTGTGGAGGGCTCCGAAAATTGTGCCCACCTGGTGTTCTTTAACGTGCAGCCAAATCTGAGCACGCGAGCCTACAGCATATGCGCCTGCACCGAAAATGCAGCCGCCGCATCCGGGCTTCAATTCCTCGACCAGTGGGTCAATAATTCAATACCTTGGCCACTAGATCCCCACGGTGGAGATACGTATCACATCCCAAAGATTGCGCAAATTATTTGCTCTACTAAACAGTGCATCATTGGTTGGCTAGATATCTAACTTTCTTTAGCAGCGTTCACCATATGGGCTTCAGCTCTACTGGCTCATCTTTGATGCCCATTGCCTAGGGTTCTGTTTCCCAGGGTTCAGTGCTCGGACAACGCTTATTCCTGGTTCATGTCAATGACATCACCTTGCACGCTTCTGTGAAAATAGTCCCTTTCGAAGACGACTGCGTCCTGTATCATGTTGTTAATTTTTCACTGGTCATGTCATTCTGAACCATTTATTGTCTCATTATTTGAGCAGGTCCGAATGTTGCCAAATGATTATAAACTTTTTTAAGACGGTCATTATGCCATTTAGCAGACGTTTGGTCCAAATGTGCTGATCTTACATGCAACAAAGCCCTCAAGAGTTTAGGTTAATTACATCGTACTATCTGTCTATGTCCTAAGAAAACCAAACTGCTTACCTACAAAACTATCATTCGTCCCATTCTCCAGTTTGGCGGCGTAGCTTGGAACCCCCATAGGAAATGTGGTATCTAGAAACTCGAATTCGCTCAGAAAAGAGCTGTGCGCTTTGCATGCAAGAAATGGGCCAGGGATTTTCACCGACAAATTTTCTTTTTAAGCTAGGTCTCCGTGCACTTGCGAAGCACGCAATGTTGATTGCCTAAAATTTTTGAACAATTTATTCGCTTCTCGTTTCGGCACTATACAATCACACCTGAAGTTTTTCATATCTTTCTCTACAACGAGTGACCACGCCCTGAACTTTGCAGCTTTTTTACCCGCACTGAGATTTAGAGATATACTTCTTCTCGTTCAACTTTAAAGCGCTGGTATCTGCTTCCCAAAAATGCTCGTTCAGTGCCACTTTAAGAATTTCTGCAAGCCTGTTCATGAAGCTTGATTTGTTGTTTGTTTTGTTGTTGTTTTCTTTTTTCCAACGCCTACAATAGCCTTATTGAGGCTTCCGTAGGTCAAGATGAATAAATAAGCAATTATATATACCTGGCGTTGTATTCGCATTCTGTAAGCAGGGACCTTCATCAGTGGACAAATAACCATGGGATTACGCTGTCCCGTCGCTCTTTTTTTAACCCGCGGACAAATAAAATGGCCGAATGGGTCATCATCCGTAAGCAATTCATGTCGTACGAGTATCGAAAGTTCAAATGCGGATGGGAATGCTGCCTAAAAGCCGTGGCTCGCCATAGAGCAACACAACCTAAAATATTTGGTTGCATTTTGCTTCTAACGGCGAAGTTACAATATGATGATGTTTGGTGCTTTGATGCACAACGGCCATTTGATGGCCAAAGAGCGCCAGTTTATGGGACAACAGATGTGGACAATGATTGTGGTTAGTGGCTGTTTAAGGGCCTAGAAATTCCTCGCGCTAAGGCCGGTAAAAAGACAGAAGTAATAAAATCATGACCATGCCAAGAGAATATGTGGTGCTAATGAAGGACGAAAGTTTGTGATAATGAAAACCATGGTGGACATGTATGGCATTACCACAAGTGCCTCGATTGTTCACACCCTTGCGTCCAAGGGCCCTGAGGCAAGTGGTTTGCTCTGTGTAGCCATAGCAGCGGAGACCTCTCTGTGGAGGTCATGCTACAAAATGCCCATGAAATGTACGTAGTTCTCTCAGAAAAGCCAACAACGATTTATGTGTGAAACGTGGTTCCCTACCGACGAACGTTGCAGGATGAAGTACCTGTTGTCGGTAGGGTAATGGAAAGTGGTATCTTCTCAGCGTGTCTAACTGTTTACACTGAACTAAGATGTGAAGTACTGTGAGTGCTTCTCCGTATCTATCACACAACGTTGGGTCGCCACCAAACAAAAGAAATGAATGTGTAGTGTATGTCCCGTTCTTAATCTTGTATTACTTCTGTGTGGCATGATTTTTATACCGGCAGTTGTGGCCAAGTTATGGCTTGATGACATGCAATTTATTACCTCTGTGTGTGTCCCATGTGATCTGCCAATAACCCCTGATCTTTCGTTTCGAAAAAAATGTTTCAAGTCGAGTGCAGGCATCGGTATCGACGTATTGGTAATGGTTTTGTTGGCGGATCCAGCTAGCTGGTTCACCAGAACATTGCCTTGTATTTCGTGGTGTCCTGGCACCCAGAAGACTACAACATGCTGCTTGGACGAGTAGACTGTGCATAAGAGCAAATAAAGCAAGACAAAGACAGGGTTTTGTGCTTTTAAGGGTTTTCAGAGCTTCTACTACGCTTAGTGAATCTGTATATATTAGTGTCTTCTGCGGTTTTATTTGTTTAATGTGTTCAACAGCCACAACCATCGCATAAGCTTGGCTGGTGAAAATGCTTGTATCAAAGTCAAGAACGGCGGCTTTCGAAAAGGATAGGCCGACGGCTGCGTACGGCACAGAAGTGTTGGACTTTAAAGCATCCGTAAAGAACTCGGGACATGTGTATTTCTGTTGTAATTATACGAAGTATGTCTGAATATGTGCGATTTCTGCGTGCTTCGTAACTTCCAAGAAAGACACATCGCAATCCATCGTCTTCCACTGCCACGGTGGCAGGCATACTGCGGGAGCCATCAAACGGTGTTCAAGTGGCACACCGGTTTTTTTTTTGCTAGACCCCTCACATGGAGCGAGTAGGGCTGCCTTATAGAAGGCTGTTTCTCAAACACAGCAAGGCTTGACATATCATTAATTGTGGAATATGAAGGGCGTTCCTTGTCTGCGTTCACTTTAAGATAATATTTAAAAGACATGTAACATCTCTGTAGGTGGACCGACCATTCGTTCGATTCCACGTACAGACTTTCCACGGGGCTAATGCGAAAAGCTCCCACAGAGAGACGGATGCCTAGATGATGAACAGGGTCACGCATTTTAAGGACAGAGGGTGTCGCAG